TTACCCGTGTGTACGAGAGGCGCGCGAGAGGTTAAGCCTAGTGCCAAACCCCCCTATCGAAAAACTTACCAAGAACGTTGTGCCTGAACTTGGAATCGACTCCTTGTTACTCTCGCAATCACTCGACAATGAGGCATAACCCGTCGTGTGTCTAAACGTGGATCCACGCGAGACGCGATGTGTTTCCTATTGTGTCTCATATCGGTGCATTCAAGCGGATAAAGAGAAATCCATAAATCATTTAACAGATTCCTTGAATTATTAAAAACGACGATATCTCAAAAACTAGAGGTCCTAGCTCAAAAATAACCACATTTCCGAACCTCTCTGGGTTTCTACACGTCCTAAGGATATATTTGCTAACTGGTAGACAGGTTGAAAATGTATTTATTTATTTATTTATCACCACACTTACATCTATCATTACCTGAAATTATATTGAAATTAAATGACCTTGGGTGAAGTGAATACTTATAAAACCTCGGAAAACCGAAGGTACCAAAATTTATGAATGGCGAATATCGGAGTTTAGGGTTGAACCAAAGGCCTACCTTACATTCTGTAGTGGACTACAAATTAGTGGACTACAGAATGTAATTTAACAAACTGGAGTTCGTTCTAGTGACGTTTTTTACGTTCCCAAATTGGAATGGAAAACGTCTTATTTGGTGTGATTTCAAAGTCTGCGTGTGCTTTTAGTTAAGGTACTATTTTTATATTAATTTTCCCCGAACTCCTGGTCCGTGCCCTTGGCATAAGTACATTTTTTTACAATAAAGCTAATCAATATTTGTAAAGTACCTATGTTACACACTACAATAATTAACCACCACTACAATGGGGTAGACGACTAATTTTTATTTTAATGTCCGTCTGGTAGATTATTTAAAAACATTAGACACGTATTTTTTATTTTCTTACGGAAACGAATAGTTTCGAAGATATATTGATTTGAAATGTCGCGTGACGTCACTTCTCAGTACATTTTATACTAAGAAATGACGTTTTAGCCCCCACTCCTAAACTTTGATTCGTTTTATCTAAGTATTGTTTTTTTATATAACAAAATAAAAAAATACGTGTCTAATATTTTTTTATTACCTAAGTTACGGACTAATTATATTTTTAATTTTCATACCCTGTCATCATCCCCATTATTACTACAACAATACGTTACACAATAACGAGCTACTATCTATTTGTATCTATTTCGACGGATATACGAAATCAGCCCACCAACACGATGGGAGAGCCGACCTAACCCAGCAGAAGGTCGCGGAGAACCTAACGGGTAACCGGGGCTCCGGCTCGACGTGCAGGAGAAGGAACGGGGTGGTTTTTAGTCAGTAAGAGTCTGACACTCCCTCCCGCCTCACCCAGGCGGGAGCAGTCATTCGATGATTTTCCCCCCTTAAAAAAAAAAAAACTAGCAGAAGGCACTGGTTCACTAGTGTGACATGTGTATCTACAATTTTTTCGCTCTCAACACACAGCGCCACCGACTACAGGACATTTAAGTGTGCATGATGCCTCAGACTTTACTACGTTAGCTGATTCCAACACAGTTTACAATACTCCAAAAGTTAATTGGTTTGTTTCTATATCGACATATTATACCTGCATACACATTTCTTAATGTTTTAATTTTATCACACACAACTTTACCTGCCCAAATCAGCACCCACAACCGTCGGGTCTCTGTGTTTGATGGCCATTTTCAGGTTATAGTCCTCGATCCCTTGCTCGCTCTCATCAGCCGCCCTCCCGATTAGTTTGCTTAAGGTACTGTTACACTGCCTCGTTGGCCGAGTAGTCGCAAGTGCGACTGCCGGGCAAGGGGTCTCGGGTTCGATTCCCGAGTCGGGCAAAGTATAACTGGGTTTTAAAAAAATCTCAGTAGTAGCACGGAGTCTGGAATTGTGCCCGGTATATGGCTACAGGCTCGCCCCCTATTACATGGGACTCATAACATAAATAGTGAAAGTTGGGTGTTACTTTAGCATAATGTGCACCTCTGCCTACCCCTTCGGGGATAAAAGACGTGATGTTACGTTATTATGTACTGTTACATGTATAACATACATATAAAATCACAAAAGCATGCTTTGTTTAAGAATTTGTCACTTAGTAACATGTGTGTCAGAATGTAGCTCAAAATTGCCATGCTAATATTTGACCATTTTTGAGTTTGCTTAATAGAACGCATGCTATTTTAGACCATATGAACAGAACCTTAAGTCTCTCTTTAGTCTCACTAAGTATAGTTGTCATGCTCACTCAAAAGTCTCATTGGCAATGGCACGTGCAGTGAATCGCTCGATTCTCTACAACATGGTTGAGTTGGGCGGTGCTGGTGTACGTGTATTGTTCGGGCGCTGTCAAATGGGGCTGGTCAGCTCAGACTGTATTAAATTTGTTGTCCTCAAGGTTATTTTCTTTTTCAGTCTCCTTGACTAAATATTGGTGTTACATCGTTCTCACATAATTGAACTCAACGAAATAATGTAACCAAAAATTGTATTGTGAACATGATTGAAAAAGAGTAACCTATGGAGTTTCTTGCTCGTTCTTCTTCATAGGAATCTACACTTTGGAACGAGCAAATAGCTTCACTAGAGGACTGACCTACAGACTGTCATTTTTTCTTATTATTTAATGTTTAAATATTTTGTTTTGATGTTCAAGTGCCTTCCTGGTCTAATTGAAATAAATGATTTTGACTTTGACTTTATAATAAAAGACTGGAAGCTATGAGTCATTACAATAGAAATGTAAATTAAAACAACAACAATAATTTGTTAATATACTTTATTAAACGAAAAGCTTTAAAATAGGTACAATGATTGGCAACTTAAATCTAAATAAATATATTCCTTAAACTAAAGAGTTAATAATTGACTCGACTCGCACTAAATAGACTAATTACTTAGGATATAAATCATAAAATAAAATATGAATAATTGTAATAAAATATTAGTAATTGTATAAAAAGGAACAAAGGATTTAGCACTCAATATTAGTAATAATAATAAATGGAAGCATTGAACAGAAATATTATTTAATCTATAAAAATTTGGCATACCGGGTCTTTTTTCGCCACGCACGCTACAAGAATGGAATGGGCACGATATTTTAATCGACTTCAAAAAAAAAGGAAATATTATCACTAAAACTGTTCTGTGATAAAAAAAAAGATTCGTCTCAATTCCATTCCTGCGCACAATTCAAATAAAATCGTCACAATTTAAAATTCGCATGAGGAACTATCACAGGACTGTTATTTTCCATACCGTTAAAAACGTTAAAATATCTAAATATACGAGTATTCCATAATATCTTATAATATTTTCTACTAATATAATATTATATTATAACGTGTTATTTTTTCTGTACTTTTATTAGTTATATGTTCTAATATTCGTTGACCGTCTAGTATTATATTTAATTAAATGGACTTTTTCAATACGAGGCTGAATATTATTCGACTGACGTAATGGTTTGACGAGGAACTAGACTAGTTTCAAGCCATGCTCGGGGCTCATATTTATGAGCAGCATTAGATTTGTAAATGTTTCAAGATTAATGTTTATTAATAATATAATATTAAATTCGAGATAGCCAAGCATCTCTCTACTATATTATTGTTCTAATATTAATTATAATATTAAAATACGATAGATATTAATCTATCGTATTTTAAAATTAATTACTTATAATTATAATAGGAGTTACGTGTGTAAATATAATTATGTTATAATTTCTATATTTAATGAGTTTGTAAGGAAATGCTTTTTGTAATCTTAGTTATGGAATGGTTATTTAGGTTTATTATTTTTATCGTATTATTGTGCATATATCTGTATTAGAGATATGAATTTTCACGATCAATAAGAATGTTACTGATTTTAGTGAGATCTTCAAACTATGTTATTTGACTTAGTTGGCTTATGATACGACTCTTGCGCAAAGTCTAGTAGGATCGATTCCCGCTCGATAAATTTCGATCACGTTGTACTGCTTATGCAGTAGTCTCAAACCCTACAAAATTTTGAGCGAATTGCGTAAATCCCTTTAAATTTGATTAAATATCATATAATCAGTAAATACTGTGTTGATAGTGAAAACTCACTCACAAAATGTCTAAACTTAAAACTTGGTTACAACGATTAACTTCTTAAACATAATAAAAAATAAATAAGTAAACTGACAATCATTAAGACTTTGACTGCCAATAAAAAACTGTTGAAGGTAAATCCTCCGTTAACGCCGGTCACCGGTGACCCCCATGGCGTTCAACGTGTTAATTAAATTCTACTGCAATAACGTTAATACTTTCGATCTGCCCATACAAATTCTTCATAACATTTTTATAAGCCAAGGATACACTACAGTCTAAATGTCCTACGACACGTGTCGCCAGCGACGTTAGGTGGAGTAGCGCCACGTTGCCGGACTTTGGTCGACATGTCTAGCAACAATAACGTCGCTGTAGACATAAGGCGCGCGTTGTTGCCATATGTCGAGCGAAATCGGCAGGCTTCGCTTGACATATCGCCGGTACATATCGTGGAACATTTATAGTGTAGCCTTTGAGTTCAAGAACGTCTTTTAAACAAATTGAAATGTTATTAAAATGCAACAGTTATTTAGTAACGTTTAGACATATTCTTTCTCGTTATAGTTACGTTATTAACTTCAGATCATTATATATTTTGTCAAAATTATAAAAAACTTGTTAGTGTTTTCGTATAAAAATCTGTTGAATAGTGACTACAGTATACACTGGACTGTTAGCTTATAAATCAATTCAGTTAATTTCTCATAAGACCTAATCTAAAGCTTTGATTACTTTACTAATTGCGAATAAGGACTGTCGTGTATAGACCCGACAATAGAACTAAGACCTTCAGCTGTAGCCAAATACGATTTAGCGCTTGTCTACATGTAGAATAGAAAACCAAATTATATGAGATGGATGTAATTTTTGACACTTGTCAGTGTCATCCCCATACATTTAGTTTTCTACTCTCTCTGTAGACATGCACTAAAGTGGTGTTTGGCTAAAGGCACTGCTGCGCAATCAATTTGTTACTGTCAAATCATTGCAGTGGCCAGGAGTCCAACTTAATCGAATCTTCCAAATTATTTTTGAATTTTCGCCTTTATATTTAAAAAAAAATAAAATTGAAAATCAAATAAAAAAAAAAGAGAGAAAGGAATAGGCTGACCCGCTAGCCTCTAGACGTTTAATTTTTGCTAAATACCATGATTAGATAAATGGGGCCTTAGAACACTAACGCCATCTAATGAGCGCAAACACGAAAGTCTTCATTGCCATCACTTTCAATACTTTCCAGACTTGAATATTTACTTTTATATACTATCCATGTTAAATATTGTTACTTTATTTATTATTTGTATTACAAATTTACCTAAAGTCACTGAAATCTGTCTTCAACTGTATTGTGGGTTTGGCCGGTTTGGCGTCAAACACTGGACGTTGCGTCTGTGAAGTGCGTCCCGATCGAGCGGTCGCTTGGTTCGCCTTCAACGCGTTTTCTAATTTGCTGCGGAGTTCCGACGACTGTTGCATCATTGTTTTGAATTCCTGGAAATATGAGAAAAGTGATTTTAAGACTAATACTTGTGAACGTACCTCTTCATGCCTCAAAAACGCATAAGTACTTTTTTGAGGAGGGGGGGGGGGATCGTCCAATGACTTCTTCCGCCTTAGGTTAGCCGAGAGGGAGTGTCAGACTCTTACTGACTAAAAACCACCCCGTTCCTGCTCCTGCTTTTCGAGCCGGAGCGCCGGCAACCCGTTAGAACTTCCGCGGCTCAAGGCATAAGGCCCAGCCGAATTACAGGTTGACAAGATTTTGGTTTTAATTTAAACGTTATCCAATACTCAGACTTTCTCTTGTCATAGGTGCGGTTTTACAAACGTACAAATTCACATACACATCACACCCAACCAGTAACAACAATTTGTGGATCACCCAAGGAGTTATTCCGTGTGGTAATCGAACTTATTACGACACGCTGTTTAGCAGCCATTGGGCAGCCACTCGACGACGATTCGTCGTCGAGTGGCTGGCAGTTTTTGAGTTTATTGCGTTGATTTAGACAAACGTAATAACAGAATTTTTATAAAGTATAATGTGATATACCTGTGGGTGTTTAGGCCCGACTCTAGTGAGCCAGTGCAACGCAAACTCGTGCAGTGCGCGGACGTGGGCCGGCGCACGCTGCAACTCCGGACCTTCGCGGAGGTATGATATTACGATTGGGACCAGCAGCCATAGCATTTTGATACCTGTAATACACGAACAGGTCATAAGTTGTTTTAGACATCACTGAAGTGTAGGAAAACATGAAGAAACCTGGATTGAAAATCATTAATTTGCGCCAATCTACCTCGAGTAAGTGTGGTGATCACTCATCTCTATACGAGAAGAGGCTTTTAACTCGTCGAGTACCGGTTTTGTAGACACAATTATATAACAATAGGTTGCGGTCACCTGTGACCGCTTGGTGTTTGACAGTTTAACCAACTGTAGAACAGAGGCCTTAGTACGATTTACTTTAACGTTTAAAGTAATCGTAACGAGTACGCGTTCGGCGCTGTGACTGGCCAGCTCCAATGAATAAACCAATCAGAGCACCGAACGCCGTCTCGTTTCGATTATTTTAAACGAAAAAGAAACTCGTACTAAGCCTTCTGTTTATAGGTTGATATGAATAGCTAACCTTCATCGACAAATAGAAGTAGGCTAAAAAATTACCTTTAGGTCCATCCTCTATAGAGCAGCATACAAAATGACAATGTTACGATTAGTGTATTTTACAATTTATACAGTGCAGCAGATTACTAATTAAAATTTATTATAGGGCTAAGACCTCACTACTTGACCCCTATGAAAACGATTGGCCTCACAAAGCTATAAAAAAAGACAAGTGGAAGGAGGGTACAGAGGCCTGTGCCTTGCAGTGGGACTAATTACACACTACACACAATTTTGTAAAGTGTTATTGGCTAAATATACAGTTCTGTACACAATATATGAAAGCACAAACGAAGAACTCGTTGATACGACATTAAAAATAGTTTTGCAAATTCAAATAACATTTGCGCAATAAAACAGGAGGTGGGGAGTATTGCGCAATTAAATTAAACTTGAAATACACACGGAAAGCTGAAACTGTCGAATATTTGAACTGAAGTCAAATTGTTAACGTGTGTATTTTGAAAACCGAAAACTTCAATCCTCAAAGATAAATGAATCAGGAATAATTAACCGAAACCAATATTTGTAAAATCTGCAAAGCATCACTACATAGTTAGTAGTACAAAGCAAAGCCGCTATCCACCGTCTGTCTGTCCCTATGTATGCTTAGATCTTTAAAACTACGCAACGGATTTTGATGCGTTTTTTTAATCGATAGAGTGTTTGTTAAGAAAGGTTTATATGTATAATACATGAATATTGCACCCGTGCAAAGCCGGGGCGGGTCACTAGTTATCATATAAATTTCAATACAAATAACTCACGAGCAGAATCAGGAGCGGCATTAACGAGATCATCGAGCGCAGATATGGCGGCTATGGCGGCCTTAGTATGCGACATGTCGGCGGGGCGGCGCGCGGCGGCGGCGCGCGCGATGACGGCGGGGGCCAGCCCGCGCGCCCACCACGACACGCTCGACGCCGTGCCCACGCTCCATACGGAACGTAATACTGCGCAGCACGACGAGAATATCTGGAATGACGTGTAGTTTATGACTATTCATATTGTTATCACTATTATCTCCTAGAGGAGATAGAACATAGAATGTTAGAACATAGAATTTAAAGTTTGCGCATTAAAATGTCATTAATTCATCTTTGCGCAAACCTTGCGCTAAAAAAATCAATTACTTTTTTTAAGGAACAAGCACGCCACGTCCTCCCAAAATCGCTGCATCTCCTGTAAGCCAGGATCTACAGTAGATACAACCATAAACACACTGGAACACTGAAGTCCGGCGCGTCTCAGGGACATGAATAACTGTCTTGGTTCCCGCAACGAAGTGAATCAGAAGATATTAATTATAAGAGAAGAAAAAAACGATAGTTTCCTCTAACACACACACAATTCATCTTCTTCCTGTACAAAATATAAAGCTACTTCTTTATCGAATTATAACTACAGAAAAATACCTATTTTTTTATGGCATAAGCCGGTAAACGAGCAGACAGATCACCTGATGGTAAGTAATCAGCGTCGCCCATGGTCACCTGGAACGCCAGAGGCATTGTGCGTTACCAGCCTTTTGGGGATTAGTAGTTTGAGGATCGTTGGGGATTCAGGAATTGGGGCGATTGGGGGAAGGGGAGGGTAATTGAGCCTCCGGTAACCTCACTCACACGACGAAACACAACGCAAGCCTTGCTTCACGTCGGTTTTCTGTGAGGCCGTGGTATCACTCCGGTCGAGCCGGCCCATTCGTGCCGAAGCATGGCTCTCCCACACTTATTACTTACTACCCTAGCACCCTTTTTATAAATATCTGTCACATTCATGCACCTGTTCATAATCCAACGTAACTTTGTAGGTGTCTAGTACACATACCTCATTATCATTAGTTTCAAGACACTGTCGGAAGTGGTTGATGCACGGGTAGTGTAGTGGCGGCGCAGGAGTCGCCTTGTTCAGAACTACCGCCATACCTCGCGCCCCTATTATAGGCTCGATACGTTGCTCTGGATCATCTATGAAATTATTAAGATTCTTGTTAGGCTAATTTAGAATAACTAC